GTAATTTTCACCTGCCATTGCTGACTCGGCTAAGCGCAGCTTAAAGTAGTTATGTAAACGTTCTTGTGCGAACGTTCTCGCCGTGTTCAATGAGGTTCAATGGGGTAGTACTAGTGTTTGCCTTCTGTACCATACTTTGTAATCTTGATTGTAGTGAATTTGTGTGCCCAAGCTTTCTCAAGCTACTCTGTGAAACACACAATTCTGAAGGCAACTTTCTCCTTAGAGAACGACAGAGCTAGATAGCTCTATCTGCGTCAGGCACTTCCGCAGAAGCTCCCGTTATAGCAGTTAACTCTGCAAAGCCTAGTGGGCGACGCATGTAGACCTGCTCGTGAAGACTGCCCTGAAGAAACGATGTCGAGGAGTCGAGAGAGTGCAGCTCGTAGTCACGCTGTGCTGCTACGTATGGTAGTGCCCAAAGAGTGGTCATCTTCGGGGTCGGGTCGAAGGTCTAAAAGAAGTCAACCCCCTCGCGCTGACTGAAGCCTCTAGCAACGTAGCACGCCTTGAACACCGGCGACTCTCCAGAAGGGCGCTTCACCTTGAAGGGCCACCAGCCATCGACTACGTTCACCCTAGGAGGGGGAACTTCGTCGTCGTAGGTGCCGGTGGATCTCCAAGATGCCATCTCCGCGTCCATGACAGCTATCCACTAAGAGGCCTAGGTTCCCGAGGGCACCTCAGCATAAATGCGAGGGGTTGGGATGTCAAGGGCGTCTGGGTCACCCTCAGGGACTAGCAGCATGGAGCAGAGGTGAGGCACAGCCTTGGACAGGAAAGCAAGCTCGTACTGCCGGTCCTGAAGGACGTTACTGTCAAGGGCAGAAGCACCCCCGACAGACGAAGGACAGCCAGGGCAAGAGACTAGAGCAGTGGCGTAGTCAAGGCAGCGGGTAGAGGCAAAGTCAGCGACGGCAGCGACAAGAGAACACCGGTGGCGGCTGCTACTGTTGCTGCTCCACGCCGACACCAGAACCTCCAGCTGCACCACGGCTACTTCCGGGACGCTCCACGACAGCACCCCCAGAACGAGAACCCTCTCCAACACCGATGCCACCCCCAGGACTGCCGAGACAAGCCACGACAGTACCCCCATGACTAGCACTCACAAAACTAGCACCCCGAGAGCGAGAACCCTTTCCAGCACCGATGCCACCCCCAGGACCGCCGGGACAAGCCACAACAGTACCCTTAGGACTAGCACCCTCCTCAACGCCCGCACCCCCATAGCTCGCAGACCCCTGCGGCGGCGGCGATGACGGTTGCGGCTGCGACGAATGCTGTTGCGGCTGCAGCGGTGACGGCGGCTGCTGCGGCAGTGGTGGAGGAGTGGACACAGGGGACAGGCGGCGACACCGAAGCCGCAGGACCCCCAGAGTCAGCCGACTCCTCGACCGGGACAACCGACGGGAGGGGAGTGACGTGAGACACACTAGACGGGGCAGGATGGGGAGGAAGAGGAGCAGGGGATACCGGAGGGGTGGGGACCAGGAACAGGGGCGGGGAAACTGGGAGACCTCGGTGGGGAAAGCGTGTGTAGAAGGAGACAGACTCGTCAAGAGTGACGTCGCGGAAGTGAAAGAATCGGTGAGATAGTGGGTGATAAAATTGCCAGTCAGATGCGTCGAGGGGAAACCAAGGAAGACACAAGGGACGGTGCGGGCATTGAGTTTGTCTGTGCCAGAAGCACAAAAGTGAGCAAGGCAGCCCGAGACGTGGAACGCACGCACCACCTAGGAACCGGGTCCAGAGAAGGGTCGGCGAAACCTGCGGCCGCTAGGAGTGTGGCCACAAGTTAATTTGGTGAGCAGCGTAACGAAAAGCGAACGGCCACAGAAAATGGGGTACACTGGCATGGATCATGGAGGTACAAGCCACCTCGCTCAGCCACCCCATTCTGCTGCGGAGAGTCTGGCAAGGTGTACCACTGGGTGATGCCCTCCGTTTGACACAACTGGCCAAGCCGACAGGAGGCGAACTCGCCGCCACGGTCGGAGTGGAGACGCAGCACGGGGAGGCCGCGGTGGATTCGCGTAGCTACGACCCACGAGATAAGAATGTCAGGAACGTCGGCCTTCCGCTCCATGGAAAACACCCTGGTGTAGCGCGTGAAATCATCGACAAGCACTAGAAAGTAGCGCTCTCGACGCGGCCCACGGACGGGGGCAGGACCCCAAACGTCCAGGTGGAGGGTCTGGAGTGGTGCAGTGGTAAGGGGGAGCGAGGAGGAGTGAGGAGCACAGTGCAGCCGACTCTCGACGCAGGGCATGCACGGCGGCACAGGCGAGGGAGGGAGGGCAGGGAAAGATGCAGGGAGACAACGGACAAGCATGTAATGGGACATGTGACGCTGACGCGGGAGTGCGGGGTGACCTAGGCGGTGGTGCCACAGCAGTGAAGGGTGGGTGAGCAACTGACACGAGCAGGCTGCAGCTACTTGAGAGGACGCCACGAACTGGGGGGACGCTCCCACCGGGGGGGACTCGGTATCCAGCGTGAACTGGCCAGACACGGGGTCCCGAGGGAACGTGGTAAGAGACAAGTGGCGGCCTCGGTACAGACGGCATACCGCTCGTGTCCAGGGAACGTAGTGGTGACGCCAAGGTCCTGAAGACAACCGACACCAACTAGGTTCCTGGAGAACGAGAGGATGTGCAAGCCTGTAAGAGAGCCCGAGGAGACCGCCGAACAGGGAAGTGTAGTGGAGCTACATGCAACTACCGGACCTGAGGAGGGGTCAGCAAGTGCTACAGCGACAGGGGCAGCAAGCGGCGTAAACGCAGTGTGGTCACGGAAGGAGCAAGCAGACGCTCTAGAGTCGAGCGTGAAGGAGAGCGAAGTAGTAGCGTTGGACGGCAGAGGGGCTAGCGTAGAGCCTAAGCTAAACAAGGCAGGAGGTCCTATGCCTGACGCAGCAGGGGAACCTAGACTACACACAAGAGGCACACCTACACTAGGCAGCACATAGTAAAAAGATCCGGTCACACTGGAGTCATCAGCATACATGACATACATAACACTTCTAATCTGATCCATGTCAAGCTCAAAGGTAGGCACACGGCAGCGGGCTAGGGCGTACCAGTCAGGAGGGTCTGAGGTGGGACCAAAGCGGAGACAATAGAAGTCATCGAGGCAGCGGTAGCTGCGGGCGGCTGTGTGACCTGGACGGTCGTAGACGGTGCCGCGGCAGGGGCCGGTCTGAAGCTGGTACTGGCAGGTGGCCATACTGGAGCCGCCACCCGACACCGAGCTGCGCGCCCCACCACCACAACCACCACCACCAGCGCCGCCAGGCCACCACGGCGGCGGAGGTCCCCACGGCGACTGCTGCTGCTGCTTAGGCTGCTGCTGCTACTGCTGGTGCTCCGGAGCACCAGCCCCGCCCCCCTCATTTGCACCACCGTCCCCGCCACCACCACCTCCACCACCCTCACCACCCCCACCACCCTTCCCCCCACCACGCCCCCCCTTGGGACGGCAGCCCTTACCCTGTCGTTGCTGCGCTGAGGCCGCGGCGGCGGTCTCAGCAGCAGGGACTGTCTCTGCAACAGCGGCATAAACGCCACTGTAAGTGCAATAGGAGGGAGCACAACCGTGGAAGATAGGGACCGGTGCAGTACCACTAGACTGAGCAATAGTGCGCTGGCGGGTCTCTATCGCGGACAGGGCGGTGACAAAGGCAGTGAAAGTGAGGTCACCTGGGTGCTGACTAAGGAAGTGGTTGTGGGCAGTGGCTAGGCGGTCAGGCAAGCACGTGGCAATGAGGTAGAGGGTCGCGCAAAGCGGCGGGGGAAAGGCAGTGAGCTGTGCCTCTGTGCTAGCGGCGCGGTAGCTAGTCTCCACTGCGCGGAGGTGAGTGGAAAGGTCAGCGTCAGTGGGGAAAGACGCAAGGTCAGGGAATAGCATGGGGAGGATCAGGCGGCCGGCAGAGGCGGACGCGGGGGTGGAATAGGGCGCGATGACGGCATCTAAGTATTCCTTGGCGTTCGCTACATCGGTAAAGCGAGGACGCTCAGACAGGGGAAGGGTGTGACGAATGGCAAGCTGAGCAACGGCGTCGTGCGAATCCCAGACAGCGCAGGCAAGTGCAGCAGCGACAAAAGCCTTACGCTCAGCAGACGTGGGGGCGTTAGGGAGGGCAGCAGGCGGGGCGGAGCGAGGGAGCTTACCGTCGACTGGCGGCGGAGGTCGACGAGCCATGCCTCAAACTCAACGGCCCGACCCTCCGCGTCCAGGGCGGAGTAGAGAGTCCGCCATCACCACGGCTGCAGCAGCTTTCTACCGCTGACAAGGGGAGGAGGAAAGGAGGAGGAGGGCGACGAAGAGCGGTGGAGTGCGGTGGAGTGCATTGGAGAGCGGTGGAGAGCGGTGGAGGGCGGTGGAGGCAGCCGGCGGGAGCGCCGGCTCAGAGGAGCCAAGGCCGGCTGGCGGCTACAGGAGGGCCAGCGGCGGCGGGCGGGCTGGCGGCAACAGGCGGCCAGCAGCGGCAGGCGGCTGGCGGCAGCGGGCGGCCAGCGGCGATGGGCAGCGGCTGGCGGCAGCGGGTAGCCAGTGGGGACGGGCGGTTGGCGGCAGCGGGCGGCTGGCGGTGACAGGCGGCCAGGGACTATGGGCGGCTGGCGGCAGCGGGCAGCCAGTGACGACGGGCGGCTGGCGGCAGCGGGCGGCTGGCGGGGACGAGCGTCCAGCGGCGACGGGCGGCCAGCGGCAATAGGTGGCCAGCGGCTACAAGCGACGGGGGCCAGCGGGCGACGAGCGGCTGGTGGCCAGCGGGCTACGGGCGACAGGCGGCCAGCGGGCTACGGGCGACAGGCGGCCAGCGGGCTACGGGCGACGGGGGGCAGCGGGCCATGGGCGACGGGGGCCAGCGGGCGACGAGCGGCTGGCGGCTACAACGGTCAGCTAGTAACAGGCGGCTAGCGACGGGCGGCGCGGGCTAAGGCTAGGACTAGGGCGGAAACGCAGGTGGGCGGGATCCTAACCTTCTAGCGTGATAATATCTCAGAGTAACAGATTGAATAGAATGAGAGGTACAAGGTAGTTTTGCCTAAGGGGTTGTACTCTCTACAGGACTGCACCTATCTAGTCTATAACATATCAATATATGTTTGACAGACCCCACTGCTGGTTGAGATGTGATGGATGACCCGCCACGAACACACTTAGTAGCTACAAGCTCGAAGCAGATATCAGCTGAATCAACACGGGCATGTTCAGGCAAGTGGAGTGGAGGACAACGGAGGTGCACATGCTCCTCCTGCTGGTTGTGGTGGATAGCCACCAGGAGGAGGTGCAGGGTAACCACCAGGAGGGGGCGGGGGGTAACCCCCCGGTGGAGGGGGCGGGTAACCACCTGGAGGAGGAGGTGGGTAAGCGTAACCACCAGGCGGCATGCCCGCAACGGGGTAACCTGGCACGGGTTCTGGCCCTCCTCCTGATTGCTGGTAGTACTGGCCCTGCTGCGCTGCATGGGCAGCCATTTCCTGCTCTTGTTGCATGCGGCGCTTGCGCATGGACTGGTACACGCACGCGCCACAGCAGAGTGCAACGCCGAGGATGACGAGCGTGACTATAAGGGAGCCCCACCAGGTCCACCGCCACCCACAGCCATAGTAGCACCCGCTGTAAGCTGCAGGCCATAGATTGAGCGAAGGGAAGGGAAAACAAGAATTAGCTGAGTGGAACAAGAGCATGACGACGGGGACAATGAGCGAGCCCCACCAGGTCCCACCGCCACCTGCAGCCGTAGTAGCAGCCGCTGTAAGCTGTAGACAAAAGATAAGGTTAGGGAAGGGAAGGGAAGGGAAGGGAAGGGAAGAGAAGGGAAGGGAAGGGAAGGGAAGGGAAGGGAAGAGAAGGGAAGAGAAGGGCAGGGCAGGGAAGGGCAGGGAAGGGAAGGTAAGGGAAGGAATGCATACACGAGAACGAGTTTGAGTGACAACAAGTCGATGGCGAGGGTGGCAATGAGGGAGCCACACCAGGTCCACCGCCACCCGCCACCCGCCACCATAGCAGCACCGCTGTAAGCTGAAGGCAAGCATAGGCACCAAAAGATGGACGCTTGGGTACGACTGACACAGAGATAACGGCTAAGAAACACCAACTACTTGCAATGCTCTCAAATTGAGGGGGGATGCTTGGGAACGACGGACAAGGCGCTCGGGCAGAGAGAAAATGGACTCTGGCCTAGATTCTGACGGTGAGAACGAAGCACCTGAATAGCAGGTCGTACCTGAACACCAGGTCGTACCTGAATAGTAGGCGTATCTGAACACCAGGTCGTACCTGAATGGTAGGCGTACCTGAACACCAGGTCGTACCTGAATAGCAGGCGTACCTGAGCACCAGGTCGTACCTGAATAGCAGGCGTACCTGAACACCAGGTCGTACCTGAATAGTAGGTAGTGCAGCCGGAGGGAGTCGTTTTGATGCAACTCTGCAGAGAACAGGCGGGAATTGAAAGGGTTCACCAGACAAGAGGAGGACCAAGGGGAGGTTGGGAGGAGGACAAAGGGGTGGTTGCGAGGAGGACAGAGGGGAGGTTGGGAGGAGGACGAAGGGGTGGTTGGGAGGAGGACGAAGGGGTGGTTGGGAAGAGGACGAAGGGGTGGTTGCGAGGAGGACGAAGGGGTGGTTGGGAGGAGGACGAAGGGGTGGTTGCGAGGAGGACAAAGGGGAGGTTGGGAGGAGGACGAAGGGGTGGTTGGGAAGGAATGATGACGGAACTGAGCTGGAGATAAGGAAATGCTAGACCTGGATGGTTACAGGCAGTACAGTTAAGATTGCTGGTGTTTTTTGAGCCGACACAACAAGATGAAGGAACCGGGCTGGAGATAAGGGAATGCTAGCCTGGATGGTTACATGCAAACCCGTTAGGATCGCTTACACTGGGAGTCGTTTTAGTGGTCATAGTTGGAAAAGAGAGCTCATAAAGGAAGCAGGCCGACAACGCTTATAAAGAAAGCGGACGGAAGGCGCTTATAAGGGAAGGGGACGGACAACGCGACTCCGCTTAGAAAAAGAAAAACGGGCCACCGCGAGTCGTGTTGATACAGATCGGCCTGCGTCGTCGCAACTAGCCAAGCCGAGAAGAATCAGCCTTAAAACGACATCGTTAAACGTCTTACAAGGTAATCAGGTCAAAATTACTGTACACCGCAAGGGTACGAACCAAACCGTACCATACCATAACACACCATCATACCTGTTTCTAGTATAATACCATAGAGTATCCAGCAAGCACTAATTTCGAGGCGTCTCAAATCTCAACTTCTATCGCGCTGATTACGAGGCGCCTCTGACGCAGAAGTCAAATGAGTCGACTCAAAACGAAACTACTTACACATGCGCCTCTGATGCAGACCTTGTTTCTGGTATGCCATAGCGTACCTGGCAAGCGCGGAGGCAAGCGGAGCCATAGCCGAAATTTTGAGACGTCTAAAAGTCGCCTCTGATGCAGACCTTGTTCCTTTTATGCCATAACGTACCTGGCAAGCGCTGAGGCAAGGGGAGCCATAGCCCATACACTCGTACTGACAATCGTTGCTGCCGCCAGCCACCATCGGAACGACAGCTGCTAAGCAGAAACATAAAATGGACAGCTGCATGAACGCAACTTTAGAAACCGGCACCATCTTGTCAAAACGTAGACTGTGAGTGCCAAACAAAATCACCGTTTCGCGTCCGTAACTCAGTTTCTATTGCGTTTGCTCTACCGACGGTCAAGATAAGCTGCTACTTGCTAAAAAAAGACCGCTGTATTCAATAGTCGACCATCTGCTCTCGCCTGCCAATCTGATTTGCGTACTGATCATCTATCTACCCATATGTAAACTCTGCTCCATGTGTCCACCTGCTGGGTTCCGTTAGCTGTGGCTGTGCCGTCAAATTGGACACATCTAGTAGACTGGACAACAGGAATCTCTAGGCCGCTGCTCCCGCCGGCGAGGCGAGGCTTGGTGACGTGCGAGGTGAGGCTTGGAAGAATTTTCAAGGCAGGGACGTGCTGTGGCGGAAGATGACAGTGCATCATTTCTAGGATTTGTCATGAATTAATCATATTAATAACAAATAGTGTAATGAAGGAGTCTTGATTCAAGAGTGTCAATACAAATGAGGGCCTAGGCATTTTTAGGTTGGGAACCACGCGAACAGGTTGGGGATGTTTGGTTGGCGAAATCCACGGAAGCGCTGCGTGTCTAGGTTTGGGTTCGCGAAACGGTTTGGGAATGAGGAAGTTGCCTGAGCCTGGACTTCCGAGAGTCGAGGGCGTACGCGCTCTAGTCCAGCCCAGTAAGGAAAAGGGAATTTCCTTACATCACCCCCTCTTCCGGGATGAGACTACCCACATCCGGGACATGTCGTCGGTGTAAATAGTCCCGGACGGCTTTGATTTCGCCGAGCATAGCTGCGGGGACCCAAAGATCGTCGTCAGTCGTGCGATCGACCCATCGTACAAGGAAATCAACGGCTGCCGTATCTCAGTGGCCTCGTACGCGGTGAGCGAGAATCTTCGATGGCTCGATCGTTGGCTCGGGTACTGGGTTGACTGTATGATTGATGTGTGTTAAAGTAAGAACTGAATAATAAACTAGAGGTAGAAACCTAGAACAAATAATAGTTGGTTGTACTCACTAAAAGCATACCCCAGTCTAGCCTATAACTTGTACACAGCTAACATGTATAAGTTGACACACCCCCTAGGCTAGACAGAGGGTGAAGCTAAGCAAGAAGCAAACAGCTCAGGGTGGCACTACTAGTCCAACCACTGAGGCAGGGGTCTGGAGACCAGTCAGCAAGGGTACAAACAAAACTAAAGCAAGCCAGGGCGGCACTACTAGTCCAGCCACTGGAGGTAAGGCCACAAGGCCAGTCTGCCAGGCATATATAATAGAGAGTACACAATCAGGATCCTAACAGGTGAGTAGCTACAGGAACAAGACCAAGCTGTACACAGTGCCGCTGATGATCTTTAGGCGCAAGCGCCTTAGTAAAGATATCAGCTGTGTTGGCACTTGAGGCCAAGTGAACTACGCGGGCCTGGCGTCGCTGCTGTAGCTCGCGCAGGAGGAAGTACCGCAGCTGGATATGCTTTGCTCTGCCCTCAAGCCGAGGCTTCTGACACAGGAGTATCATGGCCCTGTTGTCAGCGTACAGGACTGGGGCAGAGCTAGGCCGCTCACCTAAGTCTGTGAGCAAGAAGGTCAGCCAGCGGAGCTCCTGTGCCGCCATGGCAGCAGCGTAGATCTCAGCCTCACAGCTGGACTGAGCCACAGACGACGAGCGAGTGGATCTCCAAGAGATAACACCCGAACCAAGGCTAAAGCAGTAGCCCTGCGACGACCTGAGCGTCTCAGCGTCGTCTGCCCAAGAAGCGTCTGTGTGCCCAGTAAGGACCACTGGCCTGCGTCCTCCTAGCACTAACCCCATGCCCGATGTACTAGCAAGATAACGCAAAACCCTCTTAGCGGCAGACCAGTGCTGAGGTCGGTGTCTGCCTGTAGCCACAAAGCGAGCCAGGATGCTGAGAGGGTATGCGAGATCTGGGCGAGTGCAAGTCATCAGGTACATGAGGCAATCCACTCGCTCTGTAGAAGGACCACAGGGTTCTACTGACTCCTCAGGAACTGGAGCAGAGAGCCTGTGGTCTACTGGCAGAGGTGTGGGCTGTGCGGAGGAGAACTGAAGACCAAACCTCTGAAGGACTTGACGCACCAAGTGTGACTGAGTCAGAGTGATGGTGCGTGCTGCTCTGTCCCTAGAGATCTGCAGGCAAAGATAGCGACGCAGCTCTCCAAGGTCAGTGCAGATGTGTCTCTTCAGCAGCTCGGCCTTCACAGAGGCCAGTGCGTCCCTGTCAGCAGTAGCGAAGACCAGATCCTCTACGTAGACAAGGATGTAGAACGGAGTCTGGCCGGAACGCACAAACAGCGAAGGGTCAGCAGAGGACTGAAAGAACTGCAGGTCTGCTAACGTGGCCCGCAGCGTGTCGTGCCACTCGCGGAGCCTGGCGCAGGCCGTAGACCAGGCGCCTGAGAAGCCAGTGGGTCCCAGGGGGGAAGGTACCAGTGAAACCCTGTGGTTGGCGCAGGTAGACCTGCTCGTGTAGGCTGCCCTGAAGAAAGGCAGTAGAGAAGTCGAGGGAGTGAAGCTCGTAGTCGCGCTGTGCTGCTACGTGTAGCAGCGCCCAAAGAGTGGTCATCTTCGGGGTCGGGGCGAAGGTATGGAAGAAGTCAACCCCCTCGCGCTGACTGAAACCTCTGGCCACGTAGCGCGCCTTGAAGCCAGGCGGCTCTCCAGCGGGGCGCTTCACCTTGAAGAGCCACCGACCACCGACTACGTTTAACCCAGGCGGGGGAACTGCGTCGATGTAAGTGCCGGTGGATCTCCAAGATGCCATCTCCTGCTCCATGGCAGCTATCCACTGAGAGGCCTAAGGTCCCAAGGTGGCCTCAGCGTAGGTGCGAGGGGTCGGGATGTCGAAGGCGTCTGGGTCACCCTCAGGGACTAACAGCATGGAGCAGAGATGGGGAGCAGCCTCGGAAAGGAAAGCAAGCTCGTACTGCCTGTCCTCTAGGACGTCACTGCCAAGGGCAGGAGCACCCCCGACGGACGGAGGACGGGCAGGGTCAGAGACCAGAGCGGTAGCGTAGTCAAGGCGGCGGGTAGAGGCAAAGTCAGCGAGAGCAGCGACAAGCACGTCAAGGCGCGAGACAGGAACAGTAGGTTCGGTAACAAGAGAGGCAAGGACCCGAGAGACAAGGGGACGAGCGGCACGGAGGTAGTCAGAGAACGGAGGAGGGGCAACAGCAAAGGACGAGGGAGGAGGGGACGAGAGGAGGGGAGGACGAGATGAGCGGGAACGGAGCAACATAGGGTGGGTGGGCAGGACAGGAGAGACGGGACGAGCACGGGAGGGACGGCGAGCCCAAACGTGAGACGGAGGTGTAGGGTCAGGGGACAGCGGAGGGGAAATAGGAGGGGAACGAGGAGGAAGACGGGCCGGAGACGAGTCCGGCGGCGGGAACACAGGACCGTAGACAGGAAGGTCAGCGGGCAGTGGGGGAGACACCGGCGCGCGGTCCGGGGAGGGAAGGCCGAGCAGGCGGAGAGCGGAGACCGGCGGCGACGACTGCTGCGGCGGCTGCAATGGCTGGGCCAGAACCCTCGGACCGGAAGAGGCAGGACGACCGTCGGCAGAACACTCAACAGCAGCACCCCCAGAACCAACACCCCCAGAGCGAGAACCCCCTCCAACACCAGCGGCACCCTCAGGAGCCGCCGGACGAACACCCTCCTCAACACCAGCACCCCCAGGGGACAAGAACGGCGGCGGCAATGGCGGCGACGACAGCGGTGGCGACGGCTGCGGCGGCGGCGGCAGCGGAGACGTCGGCGGCGGCTGCGGCGGGGTTGGCGACTGCGGCAGTGGAGGCGGAGACACCGGGGAAGGGGGACGCGGCAAGGACGGGCCGGGGGTACCACCAGAGTCAGCAGACTCCTCAACGGGGACAACCGACGGGAGGGGAGTGACGTGAGAGACACCAGACGGGGCAAGACGAGGCGGGAGAGGGGCAGGGGCTACCGGGGGAGAGGGAGCAAGGAACAGGGGGGGGGCAACTGGGAGACCTCGGTGAGGGAAGCGGCGGTAGAAGGAGACAGACTCGTCAAAGGTGACGTCACGAGAGTGGAGGAAGCGGTGAGACGGCGGGTGGTAGAAAAGCCAGTCAGACGAGTCCAGGGGGAAACCGAGGAAGACACAGGGGACAGTGCGGGCAGTGAGCTTGTCCGTGCCAGAGGCACGAACGTGAGCAAGGCAGCCCCAGACGTGGAACGCAGACGCGTCACCGGGGGACCCGGTCCAATGGAGGGTCGACGAAACCTACGGCCGCTGGGAGCGTGGCCACAGGTTAAGCTGGTGAGCAGCGTAGCGAACAGCGAACGGCCACAGAAAATGGGGGGCATCGGCATGAATCATGGAGGTACGGGCGACCTCCATGACCAAGCCGATGCGGCGCTCAGCAACCCCATTCTGCTGTGGCGCGTCCGGCAACGTGTAAGACTGGGTGATGCCCTCCGCACGACAGAACTGTCCAAGCCGACCAGAGGCGAACTCGCCGCCACGGTCAGAGTGGAGACACAACACGGGGAGACCGCGGTTAAGACGCGCAGCTACGACCGACGGGAGAAGAAGGTCGGGCACGTCGGCCTTCCGCTCCAGGGGAAACACCGTGGTGTAGCGCGTGTAGTCATCGACGAGCACAAGGAAGTAGCGCTCACCTCGCGGTCCGGGGACGAGGGCAGGGCCCCAAACGTCCAGGTGTAGGGTCTGAAGGGGGGCAGTAGCAGGGCGCAACGAGGAGGAGTGAGGGGAGCGGCGGAGCCGGCCCTCGACGCAAGGCGTGCACGGTGGCGCAGTCGAGGGAGGAAGGGTAGGGAGCGACGCAGGGAGACCTAAGACAAGACCGTGCTGTGACATGTGACGCAGACGTGGGAGTGCAGGGTGACCTAGGCGGTGGTGCCAGAGGAGGGACGGGTGAGTGAGGGACCGACACGAGCAAGCTGCAACGACCTGGGAGGAGGCACCAACCGGGGGGGAAGCGGTGTCTAGGGTGAACAGACCAGACACCGGGTCCCGGGGGAACGTCGCAAGAAGGGAACCTGAGACAGACTCAGAACAGACGGCGAATCGCTCGTGGCCGGGGAACGTGGTGGTGATGCCGAGGTCCTGGAGACAGCCGACACCAACTTGGTTCCTCGAGAACGAGGGAACGTGGAGACCTGTAAGGGAGCCCGAGTGTGAGAGTACGACCCCGTTACACCACTTGGCCTTTTCTTATTTCCTTCCTATTTCCTTTCTCTTTTCATCTCATCTCC